CTCAGGCACCCCCGGTCTTTTTGTGACCCCGAGGGTCCTGAGACCACACTGTCCCGCGAGGGTTCCACCCCCCGCTTAGCCACTGGAGTGACGTCCCTTAGGGGAGCCGACTTCTAAAAGTTCCGATTTTGTGCTCCACGGATCTATCACTTGCCAGAAGCGGCCGATGGAGGCCCCCTCCCCCGCCGTCTATCCTCCCGAATATCGCCTTGGGTTCACTTCTCCGCACGTCCTACCTTCCAGAAAGTGGTCGCTTTTCTGTTCAAAGCATTGTTGCTCTTCTTTTCTTTGATCTCCTGTTGAGTTCGTAGGTGTTCAGAATGGTTTGATCCCTTTCCAGCTGAATTCCTGAGACCAGACGAAATCCAGGTCTCCTACTCCTCCGCCATCTTGCTCTGCCCCCCCAACGAGAATTTAATATCTAAAAGTGACTTTATTTTTTGTGTTTCTTTTTTCCCAAACATCAAGATGTTAGAAGATGAAGGAAATCTTTGGGATGAAAATCGTCAGTGAAACCTTATTTCTTCAGTTCTGCCCATCCATGCTTTGAATGTTTTGAATGAATGGTGCTTGAGTTTCTGTTCTTCTTTTTCAGTCCGATGTTCAGTTTTGAGTGAAATTATTTGTATTAATGGTCAGAGTTGTAAAATCTGGTACAATTTGATGAACTATGAACTTCAGTTTGTACGGTATATGAGTAGTATTAGTCTCTGAGGTTTTCATTGTAGGAAATAGAATTCTTTTAGGATTCATGGGATAAAATATTTTCCTTTTACTACTCGCAGACTGTATTCTTCCTTAATTAGAGCATTTCATATTTAGTCCAATATAGGACTTGTGATAAACACACTTTCTGTATTAGCGGTAATTATAAAAATTTTATTTCAAATGACCTTTTTTGGTTTGTTTTACAAGTTTTGAAATTTAAGACAGAAGTAACATGTGCTTCTTGACCTCGATCCAATTTCAAAATGAAATATTTGAAGCCTAGCCAAAGTCACTGCAAGGATTTGTTTTCTTCCTGTTCACCTCTCTCCTTGGGATTAGCCCATTGCCAAAGCAAAATGGGTCAGATTCACCAGGAAGCCCCACTGCCACTTGGAAAGCCAGATACCAATTCCTGTCTCCCGGTCCCCTCAGGCTGTCAGAAGTGGTATTTGGCCTCCCAGCTGTTTTCTCTGGAATCGACAAATGTTCCTTGGCAAAAAATGGCTTCAAATACCAAACTCACCTCTCTGGGCCTCTGTCCCTCCCTGCATCCTGGCCTGGTTATTTTTCATTGTCTTGTTACCTCACTGATGCCTTTCAACATATGTTTTGTAGTTTATGCAGCTTTTCTCGTTGTCGTCCGAGGTCGTCCACATTACCTGGATTTCTTACTATGGAAGCACTAATACACGTCTTGTTTTAAAAAAGACAAAGTTGACTTTTTAAATTAAAAAACAGTATTTCTGTAAGGTAACTTTTCAGATTTCCTTTATGACTCTTCGCATACACTTTAGTGATCGATATATCTTCCTTCTGAAGTCCAGTATTTATAGTATATCCTCATTAATAATGCATTGTAGATTTGTTGTGATTTCTGCCCTTTAGTACATCATCAGTGTAATATTGATTTATTTTGAAGAAAGAAGTCTTCCAAATTTTTTGAGCTAAGAAAGGGAAAAAAGAAACAAAAAATGTTCCCTCCAAGATTGTTGTGAGACTAAAAATCTTTGCTTGAAGCCAATTACCGTTTCTCAAAAGGTTCTAATGGTGCATTGCATAGTGTAATTCCTACTTTGGTGTTGCAGAGATTGATACCCTTAGCCTTACAACAATTTAATTCCACTGTAAGGAATTTTCAGTGTACTTGATTATCAAGTAGGCAATTTGATAGCTATGGAAACATTGCTTGAGTCCTGCTTGATTCTTGTGACCTTACTTGATTCCTATGAACATTATATTCCTTTTATTAGAAGCATCTCTGTCTCTCAAATTCAAATTATACACACACCTCCTTCATTTTACTTCGTAGTGCTTGGTCTCTGGTTTGCATTTACATCCATCATAATACTAGTAGAGATACATGGCCAAGTGTTGTAATATCTGGAAATGAATTCGCAACCTATCTCCAGATTTTGTCTCTAAGCATTCAGTTATTCAAGTATTTGAGGGCCCATCATCTGTTTGGTATGTACATTGGTCTGGGAATGTAATAGAAAGGAAAACAGACAAAAATCCCTGCTTTCGCTGAGTTTAGAGTGGGAAGAAAGTGGTAGACTATAAAGAAAGACTATAAAGAAAATAAATCTTGAATTTATATATCATATTCAAAAATATGTAGTTCTATATAGAATAATAACAGCAGGGATTGGGGAAGTCAGAGTCCTAAGGTTTCAGGGAATGGGGAAATGTAAAAATTTTAAATGGGGTGGTCAGGGAAGACCCCTCCTGAGAGTGTGATACAGAGTTTGTCTGTATCCAGGCCCCTTGCTGAGCTAACATACATTCTTTATCTCCTCCTGGCTTCTTCACAGTGGTTATTGTACTTGGTTATGGTTCAGTTGTATTTTGACCTGAGGTCAGCATCCTTTGTCGGGAAGCCCTACTCTCTTCACTTACCAGTTTGGATTTGGTGGAATATAGTTGATCAGTCACTGTCCATTCTTACGGCACACAAAATATTTCTGTAAATGTTTGTTGATTAATAAAGTGTTACATGATCAAAGAAACAATGGGGTATTTTCTCTTGTATCTTGAATACCTGATGGCTTAAAGTCAGTTTTTTAAGCAGGCTTTCCTTGCCTTATTAGGAAGCTTGTCATGACTGTGTGTGGAAAACTTCACCCACTTCATACAGGTCTGTGAACAAAGGGGAGGAATTAGGTGGTAGTTGTGGCTACTTTGGGGGAAGATGACACCAGCTCTTTTATGGCTTTCCAAGTGTAGTTTAGTTTGTTGTTTTGAAGGCTTTTCTATGCGAAGTTTAATTTGATAGTTCTAAAGAGAAGGGATAAGTGTTTTGATCTGTTTGGCCTTAGCCTTCTGCTAGAACTTCTTTTGTTTTGGAAGTTTCAGTATATTTGAAACGAAGCAAAATGATCTGATAGAAATTTTTCAGTGCATTTATCAAGCCCCCAGCACCAGTGCCTGCACTACCGATTAATAATAAGCTATAGAATTAATGGTATTTGGTATAAATTTTCTATTATTAAGACTATTAAACATTGGAATATTCCATTGGTTCTAAGGAGGTATTTCTAGAGAGTATTGGCTGCTTATGTAAATTTGGGTTAAAATTAGTTTTTCACTAATAAGGGATAGGTTTCTTTTTCCTGGTAGAAAATATAGAGATGTTTTATGTAGCCTTTTTAAAACGTGTGTGTGTGTGTGTTGAAGAAAAGGTGACATTAGTGTAACATGTAAGTCGATGTTTCATAGTTTCTATGGCATAACACATATTTTCTTTTTGTTTAGCTTCCATGTTGTGGCCTCCAAGGGGAATCTTGAATGTTTGAATGCCATCCTTGTACATGGCGTTGATATTACAACCAGCGACACTGCAGGTAGGTTGCCGCCATGGTCAGTTATAAAACAGAAAGGGAGGACAAGCCTTGTCCGTTGCTAATGTTCTTCAGACCGGAATGTGATTTAGAGAGAGACGTCCTCAGTTTTCTGTTTTTAAATAGTTGAGAACAAGTTTACTTCTGAGGTATCGTCATTGGTCTCGGAGAGGTAAAAGACAGGGAATTGAGGAGACAGGATTGCTGAGCTGATGAGCATTTGGAGACCTGAGGTCCAGTGCTGGTCTTGGTAATATTATAGGATCCTAAAATCTCAGACTTGGAAGAACCTTTAGGGGCCATGTAGTTTATACTCATATACTCTTGACTCTGTGAATCCTTGCTGTCATGAGGTCATTTGATATTTGGTTGGACATTTCTCGTGATTGGGCGCTAACTGCCTCATAGCAACGACAGCACTACCAAGAATGATCATTAACAAGAAGAGCTGATGCAGCACGTGGTACCCTGCTGAGCAGTTCACACATACTAACTCATTGTATCCTCACACCATCCCAGGGAGGCTGCAAGGCACTGAGCCAGCCATTCAGTAACTGGCCCAGGCTCCTTCAGTGGATGAGCTGCAGCCGGAGTCTGTGTCCTTAACCATTATGCTTTACAAGGAAACCTGTTCTGTATTTGGTTACTATATTTATAAAAAAATTATTTCTTGTAGACAGTTTTTGTTTTTGTTTTTTTTTAAAGATTTTATTTATTTATTTGACCCACAGAGAGAGAGAGAGATCACAAGCGGGGGCGGGGAGAGGGAGAAGCAGGCTCCCCACTGAGCAGGGAGCCCGATGCGGGGCTTGATCCCAGGACCCTGGGGATCATGACCTGAGCCGAAGGCAGACGCTTAACTGACTGAGCCACCCAGGTGCCCCTTCTTGTACAGTTTTAAGTCTGTTTCTTACTACGCCTTCTGCTTAAACTTAGTTGTACCCATGTCTGTCTTTTAAAATCTTACAGCATAAGTTTGTCTGCACAGCACAAGATAGACCTCTTCAGTGAGTGTGCTAGTTTTCTCAGGATGACCATTCTCAATTCTCTAAACAGCTTATTTCTCTGCAGTTCTACTTTGTTATTCAGTTAAATATAGGGGGTGACCTAGAACCAGAATTGCCTTAACAACTTTAATATTTTATCTTGTGATTCCATATAGAGACAGATAAATGCATTACAGTTAAACCAGCACTGTGTTTAGAAATGGAAGGGAGACAGAGGAAAAGAGAGATCTCAGTGAGGAGAATCTTTACCTAAGGATATATCAAATTTTAAATTGAAGACCAAACTCTATCTGCCACCTTTGAACGGTGAACAAAAGAATATGTTAATTGCTGGGGTGCCTGGGTGGCTCAGTTGGTTAAGCATCTGCCTTTGGCTCAGGTCATAATCCAAGGGTCCTGGGATCAAGTCCCAGATCGGGCTCCTTGCTCAGCGGGGAGCCTGCTTCTCCCTCTGTTCCCCCTGCTTGTGCTCTCTCTCTCTGACAAATAAATAAAATCCTAAAAAATATATATATATATGTTAATTACTTACGAAAGCATTCCACTGATGTAGAGGAATATTTATAGAAATTTTGGACTAACCATATACCTCTTTAGAGATCTTTAGACTTTATTTATTTATTGTTCTGATTCTAATTTAAACAAGTATCTATCTTATTTTTTGTCTGTATTCTTTCTGCTCTGGATATTTTTGCCTAGTGACTTTTGCCCTCTCTCCTTGAGTGCAGATCAAGCATTTTAAGTGCTTTCCCAGGCACAGCAGACATCATTTCGTATGCTGTATCCTGACAATAATCTGCTTAAACTCTTTGTCTTTTGTTTTTGCTGTTGTTTAGTTATATTTGTATTTGCCTTGTTTTACTATTTTTGTCTTTAGAGTTGTCCTTTCCTGAGGACAAGGACCTTGTCTTATTTGCTGTAATATTGTCTGTTATAATCCAGATGTGGATACTCAGTAACAATTTGATAAAAAAAATTATGTATTTTATCTTAACTCCTTTATTTGCTAGCAGTATGAAAGTATATTGAAAATAACTGTATTTCAAGTAAGTGTGGTTTTGGTTTTGAGGTATTTATGACCTAGGTCTTACCAGGTAGACACACCTTGGGTGTAATTCATAGTGTTGTGCCGTAGATTTGATATTTCCTTAATTTTTTTACTGCGTTATCTGAAGTGGTTGGATTTGGGTTTGGCTAAGGAAGTACCCGACCTGACGTTTTTACGTGGCCCATTGTGTTGAACACCAGGGACTGCCCCTGCTGTGCTACTCCATACTCTCTCTTACTTTCCATGTAAATGATAGTTTTCCTTGTCACTTTCCACAGTGTAAAATAATCCTAGGAAACTTGTCCATGAACAGTAACAAATTGAAATTTGAAATCATCTAACTTACTTGTAACTAGAGGATGTTTAGGGATGGATGAAGATGTTGTATCTGTACTTGGTTAAAGACCTGGACTCACTGCTGTTTGTTCTAGAAACCTGGTAGTCAGTACACAGAAGTGATCAGATCCAGGAAAACTTAATCCACTTATCTAAACTCATATAAAACTGAGTGAGGGTTGAAAGTTGAAGTCAGTGTATTCCTTCATTTAAGATGAACAGAGCACAAATGACTTCCCTTCTAGGAAAAGGGTCTGACAGTGAAGTCAGATCATTTTTTGAGACGTTTGTGAAGTGAGAGGAAAGTTAAGAACACGAAAGATTGGCAGATGGAATGGCCTGGTGAAACCCTTTTGTCTTTCACCATCCAGTGAGATGTATGCATAAAGAAATGCAATTAGAAGAAATCATGTTTGGTGGTAGAATGTCTGCAGTTTTACCTTTTTCAGTATTCAGTTAATCTTTCAGATGATTTGTTTCCTTTAAAATGGCACATTTTAATACACATTATATTTGAACAAGTTGCCTGATTTTTCAGAGACACAGTCCTAGTGAACTTTGAATTTATTTTTAAAGATTTTATTTATTCATTTGAGACAGAGAGATAGAGAGAGAGCATGAGCGGGGTGGGGGGTGCAGAGGGAAAGGGAGAAGCAGGCTCCCCGCTGAGCAGGGAGCCGGATGTGGGACTCGATCCCAGGACCCTGGGATCATGACCTGAGCCGAAGGCAGAGGCTTAACCATCTGAGTCACTCAGGCGCCCCTGAACTTTGAATTTTAGTTGAAAATTAGTTTCTTTGACTTAGGTCTCTTAACTTCCTGTATTTTAGTGTCCACACTGCCTGTTTAGAAATATTTTGAGAAATCTAGGTATCTTTCCCCACTCCTATTCCCATTTGCTTTTTCTACTCTTCCTCTCCCTGCCTCCCGTTTTTCCTGGCTGACTTTAATTATCTACTCTGTCCCAGGCACCACGCTAGGTATTGGAGATATGGTGGTGAATAAGACAAAATTCTTGCTCTTTATGGGTCTGTAGATTTAATTTTTCTTCCCACCTTCACTGTTTTGGTGTGTTCATTAGCTCTTGCTAAAATATCAACCTGAGTGAAAGCATACTTACAAATTAAGTATCTTGTCAACTAATCTTGGAAAATATGAATCACATTTCTATGGAAAATTCACTTGTGGAGAAAATAACTGTTCATGTATATCTTAAATTATTTTTTTAATAGGAAGAAATGCTCTTCACCTGGCTGCAAAGTATGGGCATGCCTTGTGTCTACAAAAACTTCTACAGGTAGTAAAAGTGGCTAATACTCTGGCTTTATTATTTTGACTGCAAATAATAGATGTGTTTTCAGTGAGTTTTTGGAATTCGAGATCAAAGAAAATAGTAGGTTAATTTTGACTGTTAGCTTACGTAATTTCTTTTCCATCTTGTGAAAAAATGTGAACAATAAAAAGCAAAAACTCTGAGGGAAGTGAATCACATAACTCAGTGTATTAAAAATAAATAACAAAGGCTTGACCTTCCTGTTGATATTAGCTGGAGACTGGAATTTTCTGTTGTCTGGTCTATGACATAAAGTGATAGGGCATAGGAGCTATATATTTCTATATAAACATCAGTCACTTAGACTATGTGATATCCATACTACTAGTTAAACTTGTAGTCAGGAAGCCACAAAATTCCTTGAACTCTAGTGGGCTGAAGAAAGTTTTCAGTTAAAGCCTCCAGTCCTCCATTTCCAGAAACATTGTTACCACTAAGTTTCACAGCAGAACTCATTTGTTTTTCCTGAATCAGTTGTTCAAATTTTAACTCTTGGTGAGAAAAAAACCCCAAACAATAACAGTTTCTACGTCCCATGCTATTATAATGTACCATATGTTTTCCTGTTTGGTGAAAAACTTGAATTTACAGTATAATGTTATTATATTTGTTTCATGTCAAAATATTTAGTGGCTTGTCTAGTAGTCCTTAGGTTTTTTGATGAATGGAATATTTTAAGATTAAGTAACAGTTGTTCATTTGAGTCTAGATGTTTAACTTTAAAGTGAAACTCTCCCAGCTGACTAAGTTTCTGTGTTTTTTTTTTTTTCTTCTTCTGTGTTTTAACAGTACAATTGTCCCACTGAACACGTAGATCTTCAGGGAAGAACCGCACTTCATGACGCAGGTAAGTGAGGGTTTCAGTTGGACATAGCCAGTATTTGTTGAAACAGCTAGGCATTTAAATTAATTTCCAAGTTTTAATATGCACGTATTTGTATAATTCATGGAGAAACAGAATATTATGAAGTTTTTGTTTATACGAATGTGAAATTTATTTGATTGTACAGCTTAAAAAAGATTCATTCAGCCAAGACTGGTTTGGTAGATACTAAAAGTCCAAAGATAAATAAACATGATCCTGCTCTCAAGGAAGCTCTAAGTACTGTGTGACTCTGTGTGTATGTGTGGGGAAGGGAGGAGGGATGATTTTTTTTTTCTTAAAAACTACATTTGCCTAATTAACATGTCTGAATACCATTTTTCTCATCCGCAAAATAAAGTTAACACTACTGCAATAAGTGGTTATAATGAAATTATAAATAGTGCCTGGCTTGTAGTAATTTCTTAATTAATGGTGGTGGTAGCTATTGGTTTAGGCCTCGGTGCTAAATTTCATATCACTGTAATGTGCTGTATTTTAAAAAAATATTTATACTAGTAATTTCACAGATTTTATTAATCATACTTGTGTATTTAAATTTATCTGCATTATTCTTCCGGTGTCTTAAAGACAAAAGTTAGATATTAAGTATTTTTGGAATGTACCACGGCCTGACCTCTGGCCTGACTCAGCTTCTAAGTCTGACATTCCTACAGTTTGCTGGAAAGCCAAAGTAAAGAAAAGTAGCCACCCTGCCTTGTCATGTTTATGGAATATCTGCAGTAGATCAAGGTGGCCTGTGTTAAAAATGCAATATACCGCAAATTTCCTTCAAACTTTGGTACCTTAATTTATTTCAGCTTTTTTCTTTTTATGTTTTACATGCTTTTATGATAGTTTAATTTTTTACACAAGGTATTTTTTCTTTTATTTTTGTATAAAGTGGTGGTATTTGCAAAGCATTTTCATATGCATCGTCATTTGAGCCTCACAATGACCCCAGTGTGGTTTTTGGTTTTAAAGAGAAATGCCTTATCTGTTCTTCTCTATGGGCCCTAGCTCTGCCTTCTGGGAGGTTCTTACTTGTCTGGTATTCTCTAGGGTCCCAGATAAATTGCATGGCAGAGAGCATGTCCTCTGTAGAGGCAGCTTAAGGGTTGGAACAATCATGAGTGTTAGCAGACTGGCCTTCTGGGACGTTGTGTAGTACGGTTCCCAGAAAACCTTGGTTGGCTTTTTGGTTTATTTGTTTCCAGCCATTTCCATTTGTTCATCTCCAAAGTTATTTTCTGGACATAAAGTTCTTAACCCTCCTTTAGTTCTTATCCTTGTTTGTAGAGTCATGACTCTGCCTCATTTAATGGCTGCCACCTCCCAGCCATCTGAAATAATACTCTTGAATGGGATTATAATATCCTTACCATGATGTTTATTCCAAGAGCAGACTTTTTTTTCTCCTTAGTGGGAGTTCCTTGAGAAAAGTTGTGACCAACAACAGTGTTAAATCTTGCTGCTTGACATAGAAACGGTCGGCTTCCCCACATCTCTGAGGTCCCAAATATCTAGACACTGTCTGTTCCCTTTCATCTGTGTTCATAAACTGGCTGATTCTTGCTTGACCTCATCTCTTTCTTACCATACCTTACTAAAAGTAAGCAGCTGCCAGTGTGCACTAAAATTTGGGTCTTTTCTATTGCTTCACCTCAAAGGCTCTGTCGCCACGTGGTACATTTTCTAAATGATGATGGACAATAGCTCTTTCAAATGTTTTGCCACAGAGTGAGAAAAATCACAAGATTTCTAGCCTGAAATATGTTTAGTCATTACCTAGTACTCAACCACTAAGACAGTGCCATATGATTTAGGTATTTATTGTAATAGCACCTAACTCCTGATAGCAGTTTTGTCTCAGGGATAAGGCTTGGCAGCTGTGACAGAGACACTATAAAATAACACTGAACTTAAAAAGCTCCAAAGGATTGCTTTCTTTCATGTCAAAATCCTCATGTTCAAATGGGCTTGTGCCTCTGTTCCCTGTGGCTATTCAGGGACCCAGATTTCTTCCATTTTGCTGTTCCACCATTGCGTAGCACATTGTCCTTATCTTTAAGGCTGAAGTTGCTGGCAGGCACTTCTGTTTTCCTGCTAACAGGAAGGGGAAAGGTCGTGGAGGAATGTATAAACCACTCTTTTAAGCCCTAGAGTCAGAAGGTAGCACACATCACTCCTGTCACATTCCACTGGTGAGATCTAATGCACGTGGTCATGGCTGCATGCAAGGGAGTCTGGGAACTGTGGTGTCCAGGTGAGCCCGCATGTGCCCAGCCCAGCTTCGTTACTGTGGAAGGAAGGGTGATCACAGCTGGGAGACAGCACCACTCTCCACCATAGCACCTTTACTACTGACTTTACTGGTTCAATATACTATAGCTCCAGAATTTATTATGCTTTACATTTTTTCATTCTTATTTTTAATTGGGCCTGAATGGTTGTTAGTTTTACAATTCCTGAATTAATGTATTCAGTTTGTTTCTTTTTTTAAAAACTGATTCTATATTTTATATGAAAGACTTGCTGGATTAAAGACAGCAGAAATGAAAATTTATTTGATTTTCTTATGTGTGTGGAATTTCACACACAAAAGAATGCTTTGTCAGTACTTTTTGTGGCTAATAATCTAGTCTCGACTCATAATAAATACAGGGAGTATTTATTAATAATAATATAAAAACTTTTAATAAAAACTGATGGGGAGTTGAAACACAGTCCTATTTTATGATGTTAACAATAATTTTTTTTCCTGATACAAATATGAACTCTAGTGTTGGTTGGAGAAGAAGCAGTGTGTGGTTTTACAATTAATTTTCAGCAAAATGACCCTGCTTTGCATCATCAAAGGCAGACATTGCAATCTCTGATTTTAAAAGGAAATATGAATTATATGAGTCAAGCCTTTTTTACTGTGACTCATCTATAAAGACCTGAATATGATTCATTTAAAAAAAAATGAGCTAACCCTTCAAGGATCAAGTCAGTTGTAACCACATTTAAGAATATATTATAAGTAGAAAATTTAAATTTTTTTTTTTTTTTAAGATTTATTTATTTATTTATTTGACAGAGAGAGAGACACAGCGAGAGAAGGAACACAAGCAGGGGGAGTGGGAGAGGAAGAAGCAGGCTCCCTGCTGAGTGGGGAACCTGATGTGGGGCTTGATCCCAGGACCCTGGGATCATGACCCCAGCTGAAGGCAGACGCTTAACGACTGAGCCACCCAGGCGCCCCTTGATTTTTATTTCTATGTTTACACTTAGGGTAGCAGTATATTGTCTTCTGCAAGGGTAACAATATTCGTTGGTCCCAGTAAATTGTGTAACATTTATAAAATGATCTGGTCTAACCCATTTTCTAAAGTGGGTGCTTATTATGCTAAACTGAGAGTGGACGATGTGAAGCTTGGTAGTTTAGAAATTGAAGAACTTATGCCTTATATGGACGTAGCAAAGCACCGTGTGTCTTACCAACAGATGTTCACCATTTATCATTTTTCTTTGTTCCTCAAAGCCATGGCAGACTGTCCTTCCAGCATACAGCTGCTTTGTGACCATGGGGCCTCCGTGAATGCCAAAGATGTGGTAAGTCCGTTTATGTTTATTGTCATTTCAACTCATGTATTCTAACTTTTATGTTTTGCGAGATTTGTTGTCTTAATGCTGTTTTATTTTTCTTGTTGCTTAGGATGGGCGGACACCACTGGTTCTGGCTACTCAGATGTGTAGGCCAACAGTATGTCAACTGCTGATAGATAGGGGGGCGGAGATTAATTCCAGAGACAAACAAAACAGGTAATTCTTTTTATCACAGCTCCGCAGACACCAGCTGGATTCACAGTGACTCTGAAACTCTGCCGCTGTGACTTGTTCTTTCCCATCCCCCTTTGGATCTCTCTTTCCTTGGAATTAGCACCCACTTTTTTTTTCTTTCTCTTTTCCCCAGAGTCTGATGAAGGAAGAAGAGGGAAATAAGGGGAGATGGCAGGGTAAATGTGGAATACAAAGCAGTGATTAGAGCCTGTGTTCAGGTCAGAAAACCGAAGAAAGAGGAATTCTAACCCAGTTATTTATTTTAAAGCTTTAAAACAATCTTTAATGAAAAATGCGCTCAGATAAGAAAATGAGGGAGAACAATAAAAAATCGCACCTTCAGTCTGCTTTTTTGTTAGTGAATCTTTTGAGAGTAAAGGTTCTTGGATGTCCTGGAGCTTGATGTTTTTCCGTATAGACTTTCTCAGTGTGTTGGTTCTCCTTACCCTGCCTGGGCGTAGTGCTATCTCCTTCTCTGAAACCAAGTTCATTTCCACACCCTGAGGTTCCCTACATTTATTTTTGCTTCTGTGTTCGATGTCATTTTAGTTGGTGCGCACTAATACTTTCTCTCTGTAGCTCTCCCCTTGCCCTCCTCTAGGTCCAGTGTCTCGTGGCACTGCTATTATAATTCTCATGTTCATGGTCCCAGGGTTTCCGACAGTGATGCGTCTGAAATACATCCCATCTCCTAGTGGGAGCATTACAATAATTCATAACAAATTTTTGGGATTTTGTAAATGATTACTAGTAAAATTACTAGTAAAAATTGACTTAACTTTATTCTTCTAAACATGTATCCTATTTTTTTGTAGTTCACTAGAATTAGATAGGTATAAAAAAAAGTCCTTAGATGTCAGTTTTATAGTTCTACTTGTTTTTATTTTTCAGACCTCTCAAAGGAGGAAATTCTTAAGCAATTAAGTCATTAATGTGATTATTAAGGAAGTGGCTTTTTTGCATTACTTTGTTTTTGCAGATACTGTAATCTGGTTCCAAGCATGACTAAGAAAGTTGGGTTTAAAAATAAAGTTTAGGGTCAGAGAGTGATGATCTGGTTGATCCATGTATAATGCCTTATTTTTTTATAGATCTTATGTTTTCCCAAGCATTTTGGAATGCCATACACACACACACACACACACACACACACAAATGATGAGGTATGGCAATGTGTATTAAATAGGCTAGGTAGCAGACGGCTTTAAAAATAAATTAAAATGTGGGGCACTTGGGTGGCTTAGTCAGTTAAGTATCTGACTCTTGGTTTTGGCTCAGGTTGTGATCTCAGGATTATGAGATCGAGCCCTGTGTCTGGCTCCATGCTCAGCATGGAGTCTGTTTAAGACTCTTTCTCCCTCTCCCTCTATACGCCCCTAACTCATGCTCTCTTTCTCTCAAATAAATCTTTAAAAAAAATAAGTTAAAATCTTATATTTAAGAAGAAATTAAAAATAAATTAAAACTCTGTATTTTTCCTTATGTATAACATTTTTTCCCTAATAAAAAAACTTCGTTGGTGGTGCCCGGTGTATATAAAATTGTATTCCAGGAACTATTGGGGAGTATAAAAGAGAAATAGGATATACATAGAATGAAAGCAAGAATCCGTTTTCTTATGAAATCCAATATTCACAGTCAAAGACTATGTTAGATATAGGATAAGTCACTTCATTTCATGAGGTATTTTTTGGTTTCCTCAGCAATAAAAATAGGAATGTGACAAAATAATTTCAAGGGTCCTTCTAAATTTCCATGACGATTCAGTTGCTTAATTGCATTATTGCTATTTTTACTGTTAAGTGTTTCAGTGCTGATGGATCCTGTCAAGGCAGAATAAACCAGTGGTCCATGATAATGGGGATAATTAAGGAAGGTTTATGGAGGAGGCGGTTTTTAAAATTAAGTGTGAAGATGTGAAGGTCTCCAGTTAGAAGGAAAGCTCTTTTAAGGAGAGAAATCAGAACTGAAATCGGATTCTTGTTTTGGAGTAGAAGGAATTCGTTGAAGAGGTTTGCATGATGAGGTTCACTTCATGAAGGGGCTTTGAGTAGTTTGGGTTTACAGCTGTAGGTTTTGGGCAGATGGGGTAACAGTATCAGTGATGGGAGATTTTTGTGGTAATTTACTTGTAGAACATAGAAGTACTGGAGTAAAGGAGGTTAGTTTGGTAGTAGAAGCAACATATGTATGTAAGTGAGTGATGCAAGGTTTTTAGCTCTGCAAACTAAGACAGAAAGCAAATGTTTTTATAAATGTGATGAAGTTAAAATAGAAGATAAAAATAGGAAGTAAAATATAACAAGTATGACTTTTTAAAGTTATATCTATTCTTTAAGAAGGGGGCCTCTGGCAGGTTTCTGAAATATTTTCTTGGGTCTTTCTCAATGTCCTTTATGCTTCTGTCTTCCCTCTTAGAACTGCTCTCATGCTAGGTTGCGAGTATGGTTGTAAAGATGCTGTAGAAGTCTTACTTAAAAATGGTGCTGACGTAAGCCTGCTGGATGCCCTGGGCCATGATAGTTCTTACTATGCAAGAATTGGGGACAATCTGGACATTCTAACTTTATTGAAGACTGCGTCAGAAAATACCAACATAGGTAGGTAGCAAAGTAGCTAGAAAAGTCTAGCTTAATAGCAGCTTTTAAAGACTCAGATGTGGAACTGCAGTTGGTAAGAAGCAAAGCATTCTTTAATGCTACACATCATTGGTCTGTCTCCCTCTGTGCCATGGCTTTGTGTTATTTGTGTTGTGTAGTAGTCACTTGCTTTGAGGCAGTGCCTGTTGTGTAGATTGGCTAGTTTATCAAGTAAACCCTACTGTACTATGGAGTAGGTTAAGGAATGAGGAGAAAGAGCCCAATCAAGCGTGTTTTACTTATATATATATATATATTTTTTTTTTTTTTTTGATGAGGAGGGCTGTGCACTTAGCTTTTATACTTAACAAAATTTTAAAGAAACAATCATTGTTTGAACATGTATGTAAAATATTCTACCAGTATTTATCAAATAACCGTATCAAGTATTTTTCTATGTTTATTAAAGAGAAATAGCCTTCCAGTCTTTTCCCTATGTGGGAAGGAATAGCCTTCTAGTCTTTTCCCTATGTGGGAAATTGAGGTCACTAGTAGTGAGCTGCAGATTACTTTTTGTGTAATAAATTTTGAAGGGTTTTCCCTCATAGATAAACATTTTGTCTATAGTATGATTTTTATTAATGCATAAAAGTCCATATATTTAAGTTTAATTGAATTAACCAATTTTCTGTATGTGTCATTTGTTTAGTTTTTGCTAACATCCCTAACAATTTAGTGACTGTCATTATGCATAAATATTTTAGCACATTTTTATTACAGTCTTAGGACCAATTCCTAGAAATTGCATCATATATTTCAGGATATACCCATTTCTTTAAGCTTTTGATATATATTGACAAATTGCCTTCCACTTTAGGAGTGTTTAAAATTTAGTATTTTGCAACTGCCTCCCTTTCCTAGCATTGGATATTATCTCTCTGGATGTAATCATAACAAAAAAAATAATAATTTTGCAGTTTGATAGGTAAACATAGGTCACTGTCATTTTAACTGTAAAGTAATAAGCTTTAGAGGGAACTTTAAAACTGATTAATGACTCAATTGTATAGTTAGGGAATTCAAAATCTGCAGTCTACCCAAGGTAACCTGCTATTCTGCTCTTCCCCTTCCTCTCTTTCTCTCTCTTTAAATCTTTAGGGAGAGAACTTTGGAAGAAAGGACCATCTTTACAGCAGGTAGATCTTAATTTTAATTTTTAAAAGTTATATATATGGTACAATTTCCGTAAAGTGTTTACAGGTTAATGATTGTACGTAGATGTTTCACATTTAAGTGCATGCTGTTCTCTCTGCTCAGTTAATCATGCCCATGTAGAATCCAGGTGTTAAGATCCTGAGGCTTTGATGCAATCACTCAGTTTGAGACAGTGGATCTAAATGACAGTGATACAGTGAATGTATCCAATAGGATATAAATATCTTCCTGATTGCTGGCCTTGAGCCTCCAGCCCTTTCAAATGTGAGATAATGTACCTTGTTGAGATTCTTAAATGATGAATGTTAGCCTAGCAGGTCATAAACATAAACATTTCTCCCTTACTAATAGAGTGAAATGTTTACTGTTACAGGAAAATTCTTCCAGGGCCTTTAAGAAAGGAAGAAAACAGAATTCCAAACTGAATATATACTGTGATTTCAATACCACTGTTAATATTTTGCTTTCTTTGTACTTTTTTTTTGCCTTGTTGATATTTAAAAAGGACTTTGAAAAAAAACACAATATGTGAAAGAATTCATACTTTGCCCTAGTTTTATTATCAAATCACTATGTAACCCTGGTTTTGTGTCCCAGTTTCAGTAAATGTCTTGTTGTTTTTCCCTAATCTCTTCAGGTTAGCGTAAGTGGGGCTGGTTTACTGCTCTGTCACCATCTTGCTCAAGAGCTAGTGTAGGCAGCTTTCCTCTTCTGCTGGCTGTTTCCTTCCAGGCTTTCAGCTTTTCTCTAGTGAGAGGAACCTGAGCCCTTCCAAACCCTGAGGAGAGTAATCAGGTACCTTCTGAGAAATTCTGATCATCATTCTCACTGCACATCATTCCTTGACCTCTCACCAGAATCTGAAAGCTATATTAAAGCATGTTTTCCTCTCCAATCCATCAGAATTAAATAATACATTCATGCCTGGGTCCTGTCTGCCATCACTTTGCCTTTCTATCTGGAGCAGCTGTTTTTACCTTCTCTCCCATTCCTCAGACGGCCTAAGTGGGAGTAGAATGGAAAAAAAAATGCACCGTGTTATGTCTGTACCAGCTATCTTATATGGGAGCAGAGAAAGTGATTTCTGAAATACATAGATATTTAAAATAAGGAATTATTGAATATTAATGTGGGAATGGTATTCTGCTTGGTGCTCCAGGAGTTATCTAAATGAATACACAGAGTTAATATTCTGCTAGGAACAGTAAAACTCAATATTTCCATTCTTTGTTGAATACCTTTTAAAATAGCTGCTGTAGATAGGATTTGTTACTGTACCAAGGGACATAGAGTCCCTGTAATCAGGAAGACTACAGTATAGTTTTAAAAATAAGACTTATTCAGTTGTTTGCTTAACAGACCTCTGTGGGGCACCTACGATATGCCACTTACTATTCTAGGTGCTGGCGAATCATAGTGTGCAAAGTTCCCGTCTCATGTTGCTCCCAGCCTGGTGAGAGAAGAGAACAATAAGCAAATGCTAGTGTTTAGTATCATAGCATCTGCTTTGAAGAAAAGTGGAACAGGATTAGGGGACGAACTGGGGAGAGGGCAGGAAGCTATTTTAGATGGCGTGGTCAGCAAAGGCCTCTCTCCGGAAGTGACATTTGAGCAGAGGTGTGAAGGAAGCGAGAAGGGAGCCAGGGGGTTCTGTAGGAGAAGCCTTAGCAAGCAGAGGGAAGGGCTGGTGCCAACCCCCTGATGCAGGAGTATGTTTAACACATCCATGGGGCAGTAGAAGGTCAGCATGGAGGAGTGATGTGCGCATGACCCAGGAGGAAAGGCAGGTGAGGTAAGCAGCTGCCAGATGATGAAGGACCCTCTGAAGGGAAGGCAGGGATTAAGGTAGAATGAGGAAATGGCTCAGACCCCACACAAAGAACAGTCCTTTGCTGGAAGAAATGAGGCTAGAAATGTAGTTTGGGCCAAGTCATGGATATGGAATATCTTTCTAATCGGACCTTGTCCCTCTAATTCTAAATCCAAACTCATTAGAATGATAGTTAAAACACTTGGTTAAACAAGACTTAACAAATAATACGAAACATTACAAAATTTTCTTGGAAAATTAAAGCACTAGCTTTTTTTTTTTTAAGCTCTCAAAAAGAAAGACCATAGCTTTCTAAATTATTATGTAGATGTAAATGTCAGTTTGGGCAAAAAAAAAAGGTTATATGCTCTCTTGTTTAATAATTATGTTATGTTTTTTTATTAAAGCAAATCTCTAGGCTGGAATAAGGTTTCAAAGCAGTAAGTGTACAAAACAGAACATGTACTGAACCAAGTCATTTAGAGATCTTTTACAAAGCTCTGGTCAGAGGATTGTCTGTCTCTTTCTTACCATACCCTTTGATATTTTATCAGTGCTTAAAGAAATAAGTAATTTCCATATTTCTTTTCAACGTTAATGTAACTCCCTCTCCTTTTTAAGTACTAGATTTTTCCTTTGGGAATTGTTGATGTTGCCTTATAGTGCAACTTTAGTTTTGTGTCTAGTACAAATTCTACTTTTTAAATCTTGGTAACTTTAGTAAAAATAAATCCTTAACAGTTAGGATTTTAAATTTTATTATGTCTTCATATTTTAAAATAAATCATAGTTGATTTATGGAAAACCTGTAGTCCTTTGGGGAAGGTATGTGCTATGGTGAGCGCTGTGAATTGTGTAAGACTGATGAATCACAGACCTGTACCCCTGAAACAAATAATTCATTATATGTTAATAATAAAAAATAAAAATAAAACCTATACTCTTAAAGATGCTTTCCACTTGGAGTTTTAAGTGCAAACACTGCCATCTTGTGTTATATACAGTAAAATTTCATGTTGGATAAGCAGCACATCCCTAAATGTTGCCTACCGAGGAAAATGTACTTTTCTGTATTGCCATACTTGCCAACCTGTGTTCTCTTATGTTTCACCGAAGCGAAATTTGCCATACATGCTAGATGAAGTAAATATGAGGTCAAGTCAGAGGGAGCAGCGAAACATTCAGGTAAAAAGAAAACAAAAGGTATCTTCTTTGTAAAGTATTGCTGTGTTGTTTGTAGTGGGGTCGGATGGGGAGAGAAGGAGCGCGAAACGTGGGGGACATGAACAGGGCAAGGAAGGGCACCCTGTTGTCTTTTGTGGTTCTGTTTTCTTGCCCAATCCCTTCTAAAAGAATTGACTTTTGACATGAATGTTTGGGTCATATTATCTTACAGAAAGTATTGTTTTAATATGTATTAGGAAGCAAATAATTTAACAACTTTACATAACTTTTTATTGATTTAAATATATCTGTTTTGGGCCATAAATCCTAACTTTGTATTCATTTTAGAAAACTTAAGTATTGCAATGAAAAATGATGGTTATTAATGTAAATAAATATGTTTGTTTTAATGTAAGTATTTTTTATTTGATGAAAAATCATTTTGTTTAACCACACAATGTTCTGTGTTAATCAAAGTATTTAAAAAATAATTATTATGTGGATTATGTCAGAGGAAAGGATTCCATAATTAAATGGTTTATTTTATGACTGAAGCACCATTAAAATATAGGTTGTATAGCTGTTTTCCATATGACAAGACAAAAGCATTTTATTTGGGCTTTTATAGTTTACTATGTAGTGTTAAGAAAGTGAACTCTAGCCCAAAATTGGAGCCTTAAATGCTTCATCAGAGCACTGAGATAATTAGTATAGCAAAAACAAAAAACAAAAAACTCCCATAAACTTGAGAGGTGTTAAGCAAAAGTTAAAATGGCATATTCTTCTGCTGTTTTCTGTTTCCAGGTGATGCTTTTGTTTACTGATTTTGTTAGAATCATGGTGGTTTGCTGTCTTGTATATACTTGTATTAATTAGATAGCATAGGACCATAATCTTCTATAAGCACACCTCGGAGATATTGCAGTTCAGTCCCAGATCATTGCAATAAAGCAATTCCTGCAGCAAAGCAAATATTGCAATAAAGTGAGTCAAATGAATTTTTTGGTTTCCCAGCACATATAAAAATTATATTTGCATTATACTGTAGTCTGTATTTTTTTTAAGATTTTTATTTACTTAGAGAGAGAGTGAGCAAGAGAGAGAGAACACAAGTTGGGGGGAAGCAGAGGGAGAGGGAGAAGCAGACTCCCTGCTGAGCAAGGAGCCTGATGTGGGGTTCGATCCTCGGACCCTGGGATCATGACCTGAGCTGAAGGCAGACCTTGACTGACTGAGCCACCCAGGTGCCCCTATACTGTAGTCTGTTAAGTGTGCAGTAGCATTATATCTAAAAGACCCCCAATGTATATACCTTAATTTAAAAATACTTTATTACTGGGGTGCCTGTCTGGCTCAGTCAGAAGAGTGTGTGACTCTTGATCTTGGAGTTGTGAGTTCGAGCCCCATGTTGAGTGTGCAGTTTACTTAAATAAATATTTTTTAAAAAGAAAAAAAATTTTTAAATAAAAATATTGCTAAAATATTCTAGTCCTCATTGGCATTTTCAGTGAGTTGTCATCTTTTTACTGGGTGGGGGGGGTCTTGCCTTGATGTTGATGGCTGCTGACTCACAAGGGTGGTGAGTTGTTGAAGGTTGGAGAGACTGTGGCAATTTCTTAAAATAAGACAGCAAGGAAGTTTGCCACATTGATGAACTCTTAACAAGTTTTCTTGGTAGCATGCTGTTTGATAGTATTTTCCCCACAGAACTTCTTTCAAAATTGGAGCCGATCCCCTCAATCCCTCTAAGTTTATGTCATGTTCTAAGTCCATTGTTGCCATTTCAATAATGTTAATAGTATCTTCACCAGAAGTAGATTCCATCTCAAGAAACCACTTTCTTTGCTCATCCAAAGAAAGCAACTCCTCAGTCATTAGTTTTATCATGGAATTGCTAGCGATTCAGCCCCATCTTCAGACTCCACTTCTAATTCCAGTTCTCTTGCTATTTTCACCACATCTGCAGTTACTTCCTCCACTGAAGCCTTGAACCCCTCAAAGTCCTCCATGAGGGTTGGAATGCACTTCTTCCAAACTCTCGTTAATGTTGGTATTTTAAGCTCTTCTCATTAGTCACAAATGTTCTTAATGTCATCTAGAATGGTGAATCCTTCCTAGAAGGTTTTCAATTTCCTTTGCTCAGCTCCATCAGAAGAATCTCCATCAAGGCGGCCATACAAAATGTATTTCTTAAATAATAAGCCTTGAAAGTTGAAATTACTCCTTGATCCATGGGCTGCAGAATGGATGTTGTGTTAGCAGCCTTCATAGAATTCATAGAAGAGAGTTAGGGCTTTGCTCTGAATTAGGCTTTGGCTTAAGAGAATGTTGTGGCTGGTTTGATCTTCTATCTAGACCACTAAAACTTTCTGCCTATCAGCCATAAGTCTGTTTTGCTTTCTTATCGTTCATGTGTTCACTGGAGTAGCACTTTTAATTTCTTTCAAGAGCTTTTCCTTTGCATTCACAACTTGACTAACTGGTACAAGAGACCTAGCCTTTGGCTTTTTTTAGCTTCCAGCATGCCTTCCCCACTAAGCTTAATCATTTTTAGCTTTTAACTTAAGGTGAGAGTTGTGTGACTCTTCCTTTCCCTTGAACACTTAGAGGCTATTGTAGGGTTGTTAATTGGTCTAATTTCAATACTGTTGTGTCTCAGGGAACAGGGGGGCCTGAGGAGAGGGAGAGGGTTGGGGGAACGGCCAGTGGGTAGAGCGTCAGAACACACAGAGCACTTACTGGTTAAGTTCGCCATCTTAGATGGGCACAGTTCATGGTGCCCCAAGACAATTACAATCGTGTCATCAAGGTTCACTGATCACAGATCACCATAACAAATATAATAATAATAAAAAATTTCAAATATTGTGAGAGTTACCAAAATATGACAGAGACACAAAGTAAGCAAATGCTGGTGGAGCAATGGTGCCGATAGACTAGCTCAATGCAGGGTTCCCTCAAACCTTCAATTTGTAAAAAACACAGTATTTGTGAAGCATAATATAGCAAAGCACAATAAATCAAGTATGCCTGTATATTATTTCTGACCTGTAAATTTTAAGCCATTGAAATGTCATTGAAACTATTGTGTCTTTGGACTTAAAGCTGTTTTATATATGTATATATCCTTACATGATAGCAAACTGGTTTTAAAAATTTCTTCCATAAGAACTGCTCTTTTAAGGCTGGTCTGGCACCTGTTATCTTTACTATTTAAGGATCTGGAGATTGAAAATGAAGATTTGAAAGAGAGGTTGAGAAAAATTCAGCAAGAACAGAGAATATTACTGGATAAAATCAACGGTTTACAACTACAGCTGAATGAGGTAAATAATCTACATAATATAAAAAAATTAAAAAATGTTTTACTACCAGTAATCATCATCAAGTGCCACATCAAGTCATGGTGCTAGATGCTGAAGGAGGTACAACCAGGTCATTGTCCTTGAGGAAAGGTCTGTCTTCCTGGGATCTTTACATTAAACTTTCAGTGTCACATATAGGAACAGAAAATACTGTTGGTGTACGGTAATAGCAAAGCACTGAACTATAGTTGGGGCTATGGGATTGGAAAGTAGGAGCTGGTAATGGATGGGTTCTCAAAAGAATCAAAGTGCTTCTGAACCTGGTCAGTGAGAAGAATGAGTGACAGCTCAGACCACAGAATTGGTCTCATCCAGAGACATTTTCTCCTTATATCCTTGTTTCCAATCTTAAAGATATGTGCCAGCCTTTTACAAAGATATTCGCTGAGCTCATGCCTTTAAAAAATAAGCTTTGAATAATGGAAATACATTTCTTCTTTTTGAATTTAGGAAGTAATGGTTGCTGATGATCTGGAAAGTGAGGTAGGATGATAAATTTTACTTTAAAGCTGTAAAATGTTATGTAAATTGAAGATGATATTGCAGTAGAGTTTTGAGTCCTGAGTTGAGATGGGGATGAGGATTTGATTTCTGGTTATTGCTTAAAGGGAAAAACAAAACCTACATGTGACTATAAAAATACGTTTTAAGGACAGCATGGGTTGTCATAAGCATTTTGTTGTTATTGCCTCTGAATGCCTCATTTTCTGTGAAACTTTTAACGAAAAGATTTAAAATTCTAAACATTGTAAATAAAATGTCTGAAAATAATAAGATTAGAAACATATGACAGAAATGTGAATTTTTCATAGTATTGTTTGTATATATTGTATAGTTTATTAGTATATTTGTAAAAATTTCCAACTCTACTAATAGTTAAAAATACTAAAAAATCACAGCCATTCTAATTCACATTTTCTGAAACATATTTTTAACCCAGTTAATCAAATCACAGAATGATTTTGCTCTGTATTTATTCCTTTCCATTTCAGAAAGAAAAGCTGAAATCCCTTTTGGTGGCTAAAGAAAAGCAACATGAAGAAAGCCTAAGAACTATTGAGACTCTGAAAAATAGATTTAAATATTTTGAGGTATAGAAAGCTTAAATACATTCTTTCATATAACGTAAAATGGGCAGTGGTAAGGAGCTTGGAGTCAGACTTGAATTTGAATGATTGCTTTCTTCTTTATTGTGTGACCTCAGGCAGTTTATTTAAAGTCTCTGAGCTTGCTGCCACTTTTGCAAAAATTGGGGTGATCGTCCCTTTCTCCACAGAGCTGTGGGAAAGGTTAAATGAGACCACTGACTGACCTGCATGGGCCTGGCATTCCCTTCCATACCCATTCCTCTTCCCTGGCTTTCCTCTTTGTCTTTACCTTTACAAACTTCACACTCGTATCTGTAAATCTGCAATGTTTATGATGGTGAAAAGAACAAAGCGTCATAAATGAATAGTGTATTTCCAGGATTATCTCAGAAAGGGTTTTGTGTATCTATGCATTAATTACAACACTCAGTTGAGAATAGTGTGTCAGTAAGGCTCAGCTTTGGTTGGATCAGTTAGCTCTTAGTTTTTCCAAAGTCATGGTATTTTTTAGAAATTTTTTATTGAAATACAGTGTACATTATAAAGTACACATGTTAAAGTGTATATGTTGAAGACTTTTCACAAGTCAGACACACCAAGATCAAGAAATAGAACACTGCCGGTACCTAGAAGCCTCCTGACACTCGCTTCCTGTCAGGACCCACATTTCCGGCACCAACAGTGACCACTCACTCGCCTGGCTTTTATCTGCAGAGGTTTGTTTTGCAAGGCCATCATACATATTTTATAAATGTTGTTCATCGCTGGTGCTGCTGAAGAAGGTGGCTGATTCAGTGTGAATCTTTTATCTTTACTGGGGAATATAACTCCAAAGTATGTAACAGAAGCGATTTTTTTTCCTTTGGAGATGAAAAACATGTGCGCAGCTGTGAAAAAATGTAAAGACACGGGATGAATCTCACAGACGTAATGTTGCGTGAAAGAATTCAGACACAGAGTATATATTTCATGATTTCATTTTTATGAAACTTGGAATCAGACAAAACTAATCTGTGGTGACCGAGGTCAGAGTGGAGGCCACCCTTTGGTGAGGGGTTACTGACTAGGGGCATGAAGAAGCATCTGAGGGTGCTGGGAATGTTCTCTGTCTTGATCTGGGTTGTGATGACGTGAGGTATACACGTATGCAGATGCTTACTGCACCATACACTTAACACTCACGTACTTTACTGCAGGTGAGTTACGCCTTGATGCGTGTTTGCATTGATATGACTGAATTCTGAAGATTATTCAGAAATAGAGGTTTATAAAGTAATGAACTAGTAGAGTAGCTTCTATTTTTCACATTTGAAGATGTTTGTTTTTAAGCTAGTAGTGAAACTAGTAACAGCTAACATTTTGTAGCATTGCCCACATGCCAAGAAACGGCCCTGTGCACTATACACGTATTTCATAAACACATCAACTCTGTATGCTAGATCTTACTCTTATCTCCACTTTGTGAGTGAGGAGACCGAAGCACAGAGCAGTCTACCCATGAGGGGCTCTATAAATAGGAAGTGGCAGGGCCAGAACTTGAACCCAGGCAGTCCGACTAGTTTTATGCTCAGAATAGCTTGAATGAGAAAATACAGATGTGCATATGGGATTTTTGAAATGTCTGCCAAAGTTGGATACCTATAATCGGGTACTATTTATGTATTGCTTTTCTTCTACAAGTGGACTCTCACATCTTAAGAATAACATGTTTTCTGTAGCTTTTGACAAACTTGGAGCCAAGTCTATAACTTTCAATGAGGTTATAATATATTGTAGAAAAATAACACGTCTTTTCTTATAAAAACAACACATTTATTTTAGGAAACTGAGAAAATGTAGTTAAACTAGAAGCAGAAAATAAACACACCTATAATGCCAGCACTCTTAGCCCCTGACTGATCGCCTTTCACTTCATTTGTGCATGGCTTGTGTTACATACACGTTCAACAGGTGGGAATACTGTTTTGTAACTTCCTTCACATAGGCTAACGGGGACATTTTCTCCAGTCGATACATATTCATTTTGATGAATTTTTATACTAGAAATGAGTTTTTTACTTTCAAGAAGAAAATTAGAGGGCGCACTTTATATGTGACCCCATATTTGTGAAAGCAGCCATTAAAAACTAAGAATGCATTATTTATAAATATTGAGTACTCACTACTGTATCATCTCACGTGCTAAGAATTCCTCATAAGCTGCCAACAGAAATGCTGCATTATGTGTAATATATAACATGTAGGCAGTTCCCTTATGTTTATAGGAAAAATATGAGAAAATATGGGTGTTTTAGAACGAAGCTAATTTTATGTTACAACTCATCTTTCCATTTTTATTTGAGTAATCAAGTAAAGGTGATAAACCCAAACCAAGTTTTTTGAACTCCTTATGTGTGTAGGCCTTCCCCAACCCATATATGTCTAAGCCCATTTAGCAGCTATTACAAACTCTAGTATTCAATATTACATAGAACAAAGAGCTTAACTAAGTTTACAGACATTTTTCCGTACCCTTGGAGCACTATGGATTAGTGGAGGTGGCATTAATTTAGTTATAGAACTGTGGACCATTTTTATTGTGGTCTCCTATACGAGTTTGACACATAGCTCTTAGTATCTCTAATACACACAGATACACAGACGTGAACTACCTCTGCACATCTTTTTTTAAAAATTGAAAGTAGCTGACACACAATGGGACATTAGTTTTGGGTGTACTGCATAGTAATTTGACAACTCCATACATTACGCTGTGCTCACCACCTGTCACCATACAACGCCACTACGATACTTTGACTGTGTTCCCTATACTGTACCTTTTATACCCATGACTTACTCATTCCATAACTAGGAGCCTCTATCTCCCACTCTTCTTCATCTGTTTTGTCCATTCTCCTACCTCCTCTCCTCTGGCAACCGTAAGATTGTTCTCTGTATTTATGGGTCTGTTTCTGCTTTTTGTTTGTTCATTTGTTTTGTTTTGGGATTTCACATAGGAGTGATACAGTATTTGTCTTTCTCTGTCTGATTTACTTCACTTAACATAATACTCGGAGGTCCATCCACGTTTTGCAAATGGCAAGATCGCATCCTTTCTTAGGGCTAATATTCCTTTGTGTGTGTGTATATATACCACGTCTTCTTCATTCGTTCATTTATTGATGGACACACTTGGGTTGCTCCCATATCTTGGCTATTGTAAATAATGCTGCTATAAACATAGGGGTGCATATATCTTTTCAAATTAGTGTTTTTGTTTTCTTTGGGTAAATTACCCAGTAGTGGAGTTACTGGATCATATGTTATTTCTAAATTTTTCAAGGATCCTCCATACTGTCTTCCACAGTGGCTGCACCAATTTACATTCCTACCAGTAGTGCACAGGATTCCTTTTTCTCCACATCCTTGCCAACACTTGTTTTTTCCTGTCTTTTTGATACTGGCCATAATGACAGGTGTGAGGTGATATCTCATTGTGATTTCAGTCGCATTTCCTTGATGATTAGTGATGTTGAGTGTCTTTTTGTGTGTCAGCCATCTGTATGCCTTCTTTGGAGAAATGTCTGTTCAGGTCCTCTGCCTACTTTTTAATTGGATTATTTTTTGGGAGTGTATATAAGTTCTTCCTATATTTTGGATATTAATTCCTTATCAGATATATGATTTACAGATATTTTCTCCCACTCACTAGGTGGCCTTTATATGGTTTCCTTTGCTCTGCAAAGGGTTTTTATTTTGATGGGGTCCCGGCAATTTATTTTTGCTTTTGTTCTCTTTGCCAGAAGAGATATATCTAGAAAAGTATTTCTATGGCCAATGCCAAAGAGATTATGGCCTGTTTTTTTCTACCAGTTTTACGGTTTCACATGTCACATTTAGGTCTTTAATCCATTTGGAGTTTATTTTATTCTATTTTATTTTTTTAACTTTTCAACTTTTTATTTTTTTAATTTTTTAAATTTAATTATTTTATTTTATTTTATGTTTTATGTTGTTCTATGTTATTTATGGTGTAAGAAAGTGGTCCAGTTTCATTCTTTTGCATTTAGCTGTCCAGTTTTCCCAACATGATTTGTTGAGGAGAGACTGTCTTTTCTCCTTGCCTCCTTAGTCATAAGTTAATTGACTGTATAAGCATGCGCTTATTTCTGGGCTCTCTGTTCTCTTCTATTGATCTGTGCGTCTGTTTTTCTGCCATTACTATACTGTTTAGATTACTACAGCTTTGTAGTATATCTTGAAATCTGGGATTGTGATACCTCCAGCTTTGTTCTTTCTCAAGATTGCTTGGGTTATTCGGGATCTTTGTGGTTCCACTCAAATTTTACTATTATTTGTTCTAGTTCTGTGAAAAATGCTGTTGGTATTTTGATAGGGGAGGCATTTTCTTCCTCTTAAGGTAAAGAAGCCGCAGAAAGAGTGTGTATTGAAAGTTGTTTCAGTTCATTTGGGGCTCACTTTTTTTTTTTTTCTTTTGAGCAGCAAAGTTTTTCCTTGAAACGCTTGGCTGCTTTTATTAAAATGTTTAGTGAAGTAGTTTATTCTCAACTGGTCTCTCTAATTGTCACTAGTGCTGTGTCTTTTTGTGGTTTCAAGTAGAGTCATACTCAGGAGAAACAAGGAATGTTGAAAATGTGGTTTTAATGATTGGATCATTTAGAGCTAAAATAGATACAGAATTTAACAAAATGAAGCAATATTCGTCATAAATTTCTGCTTCTGATTTCAGAGCGATCATTTAGGATCAGGAAGTCATTTCAGTAACCGTAAGTACAAAAGCATAGATTATCATTACTATTCACCCAGTTCAAACAAAGAATGTTTATACCTACTTATTTCGTCTAACTGTATATGACATTCTTGCCGCTCAACTTCAGCCACTTGTGTGTTATACCTCAACACATGGAAGTAGGAAGAGGTGAAGATGCTAGTGTAGTAAGTTGTATCTTATATGAGTTACCAAACTTGCCTTGTTGATTAGGAGACATTTATCTTGTGATATTTGGAGCTTATTTTTTATGAAAAGAAACATAACGTAGTTTTCTGATTTGGAGAAATCTGTGGATATAGTCTCAATGCAGGGAGGCATTTTAAAATTAGAAGTTACATAAATACTTATTTCTTATTTAAGACTATGTCATTAATATTAACTTTTGTGTATTATTTGCTAATTATAAATAATTCCTCTAGAAAATCCATTTTTTTTTGCTTCCCAGGAAATATTAAATTATCCTCGAGCTCAGTACAATAGTAGTATTTATCTCATAAATTGTAAAGAAAACCATTTTTATTTTGACTGATTGTAAGATACATATTTTATAATAATCATGTAGCTTATGTAGTCTAACAGTCTTATATATTTCTAAAAACCAACTTAGTATCTGTTCAGAAGAATATAGATACTTCCCTTATGTATATAGAAATAATAAGGAAAAACAGGGATAATTTAGAACAAGGATAATTTTATGTTGTAACTCATGCTTTTGTTTTGTTTGAATAATAGAGAAGAGATAATAACACCAAATCAATTCTTAGCCTACTTTGGTATGGATATTTAAGTTATCATTTATTTGGATTTATGTAGGAAAAGAAGATATGCTTCTCAAACAGGGTCAGATGTACATGGCAGATTCACAGGTAAATCTGTATTTTAATGAAAAATTTATTAAAAATATTTGTGCTTTTTTAAAAGGGAAAACAGCATTCTATATTTATCAGTGCATATACATTGAATAAGGTTTTCATTATCAAAGAAAAGTTGTTAGTGTTCTGAGTTTAATAAGAGCAGATATTACTGTTTCTGGTGCCCTCTAGAGTGTTTTTGATGACAGTAACTTAAATAAGAGATTTGAATTACAGTTTCATTGTCTTTGATAGTAAGCCTGTATTTATTAACAGCGTTTGGTCAACTCTTCATATTTGCCCATATAGAGGAGAAGACAGGTTACAAATAATTCAGAAGTAATTTTTTTGGCTTTGAAATGTATTTTTCCTTATTCAGATACCTATTCTATGTGTTGGAAATTCACCTCAAAATAAGGAAAGCTTCCAAGAGGTAGTGTTGTCTGATTTTCTCGTTGATCTGCTTCTCACCTTTACTATCCAGTAGATACAAGTTTGCATTTTTAACACCTCCCATGGGCTTTTAAAGGCTTTTTTACATTCTGTCATTCATTTATAGGCAGAATGAGTTAGGCTTTGTGTTGTCTCTAGATCACTTTAAGCTGGAGGGACTCCTGGGTGGCTCATACGGTTAAGCATCTGCCTTCAGCTCAGATCATGATCCCAGGGTCCTGGAATTGAGCCCCGCATCGGGCTCCCTGCTCTGCGGAGAGCCTGCTTCTCCCTCTCCCTCTGCCTGCCGCTCCCCCAGCTTGTGCTCTCTCTCTCTCTCTCTCTCTGTCAAATAAATAAAATATTTAAAAAAAAAAATCACTTTAAGCTGGAAACTTCTTAGATTCTAAGTTGAGAAAATGGATATCATCTGAAAAGTATTTAAGATTAGATAAATATTTGATTGTAATAAAACAAGTCTGGAAATGGTAAAGATGTGTAAGTAATTGGTAAATTATCACAGTTTTAGTCTAAAGATCATTGGTAAATTGAAAGATAATTTAGAAGCAGAGTGAGGCTGGGAAATTATTCCATGTTGTTAATTTTTTCTTCTTGATCCTGGGGAAGGCAGTATAGATTTAACTGAACAACAGTAAGACCTACCTATTAAGATAGTGGAATGTATGCACAACACATAGCTTTTATCAATGAATTAGTACCTGTAAAGAGCCCGTGCTGTAATAGGCTGTATGGGAAAAAATAAAATAATTGAATTTAGTCTTTCGTGGTTATATGTTCTGTTTATGAACTATTTTTTGAAGAGTTTAATTATACTTCTTTTTTATGTCAACTTTTAGTGGAGGGAATAAGATGTCAATCAAATTTTGTACTAAGATCATATGGTAAATTCTAGTTCATCCTACTTGAGAGAAGATAACTTGTTTCATTTTTGTGAGTTAACGGATATTCTCTTGACAACTCATACTAGCCGTGCTTATTTTGGTGGTATTTTTATAATTTAAAGACCATTACGTTGGAGTTAACGAGGATATTCAGAAATTATATATCCTATTAGAAGTTATATAATATATCATTCTGTGAAATAATTTGCAGATTTAAAATTGCAATACTTGTTTTGATTCGAGGGTTCTGATGACTTTAGAATTGTAAGTTCTAAGCACATTATGTGCCATAAAGCGTAGAAATAATAAATGTGTTTTGATACAGTGGTATCTTTTGTGGGTAGTTATTGTGAATGGGGAAGGGAAGAGGAAGTAGTCCCCAGAGGCCACAACTATTTTCCTTCTTTGTTCTGCCAGAAATACACTTAAAGTGAACAGACTCTCTAAGTATCACTGCCTGAGAGCATATGAAGGGAATTGTACCCGGAACGGTTTTTCTTACCTCAAAAATCACTACTGTATTTTCCCAATATGCTAGTCTGAAAACCCCTTGACTGCTGATGATGTGGGAACTTTATAAGTTTGGCAAATAAGTCAATGTCTTCCTTAGGCTTTTGTGATTAGTATCTTTTTTTTTTGTTTCTCTTTTCAGTGTACTTCCCCAGGGGTGCCAGCCCACATGCAGAGCAGGTCTATGTTAAGACCACTGGAGCTGTCATTAACCAATCAGACCTCATATTCCGAAAATGACATTTTAAAGAAAGAGTTAGAAGCAATGAGAACTTTCTGTGAATCGGCAAAACAAGACCGCCTCAAGCTCCAGAATGAGTTGGCGCACAAGGTGGCCGAGTGCAAAGCTTTAGCGCTAGAATGCGAACGGGTCAAGGAGGATTCCGATGAGCAGATAAAGCAGTTAGAAGATGCACTGAAGGATGTGCAGAAGAGAATGTATGAGTCCGAAGGTAAAGTAAAACAAATGCAGACGCACTTTCTTGCCCTTAAGGAGCACCTGACAAGTGAAGCAGCCACAGGGAGCCACAGACTGACGGAGGAGCTGAAGGACCAGCTGAAGGACATGAAGGCAAAATACGAGGGCGCGTCAGCCGAAGTGGGAAAACTGCGAAACCAAATCAAACAAAATGAGCTGTTAGTAGAACAGTTTAGGAGGGATGAAGGTAAGCTGGTGGAAGAGAATAAGCGATTGCAGAAGGAACTGAGTACGTGTGAAACGGAGCGAGACAAGATAGGAAGGAGGGTCACTGAGGTGGAAGGCCAGGTAAAAGAACTCTTAGCAAAGTTGGCCCTTTCGGTTCCGACAGAAAAATTTGAGAGCATGAAGAGCTTTTTATCAAGTGAAGTAAACGAGAAGGTGAAAAAAGTAGGAGAGACGGAAAGAGAGTATGAAAAATCACTTACTGAAATCAGACAGTTAAAGAGAGAGCTTGAGAATTGTAAGGCCAAACTGGCTCAGCATGTCAAGCCAGAGGAGCACGAGCGGCTCAAAAGCAGACTGGAGCAGAGAGCGGGAGAACTTGCGAAGAAGGTCACCGAACTCACGTCGAAAAATCAGACATTGCAGAGGGATGTTGAAAAGGTTTATCTGGATAATAAGCTCCTCAGCCAGCAAGTACAGAACTTAACAAGTGAAATGAAAAATCATTATGTTCCCCTACAAGTCAGTGAAGAAATGAAAAAGTCACATGATGTCACCGTTGATGAGCTGAAGAAACAGCTTTTAGATGTAACACAAAAATACACAGACAAGAAGCTGGAAATGGAGAAATTACTGATGGAAAATGACAGTTTAAGTAAGAATGTTAGCCGCTTGGAAACTGTGCTCGTGCCCCCCGAGAAACACCAGAAAGAGGTCACGGCTCTGAAATCCAGTGTCGCTGACCTCAAACGACAGCTGTCTGAACTGAATAAGAAGTGCGGCGAAGACCAAGAGAACATAAATGCACTTGTGTCTGAAAACACTAACTTGAAAAAGACCCTGAGTACCCAGTATGTGCCGGCTAAAACCCACGAGGAGGTGAAAACCGAGCTGAAGGGTACACTGGATAAGGCCCACAGAGAATTACTAGATGTGAAGAAAAAATTCGAAGATCTCAATCAGGAATTTGTAAAAACAAAAGATGAGAATGAAATCCTCAGAAGAAACCTGGAAAACACTCAGAGCCAAATAAAAGCTGAGTACATCAGCCTCCGAGAGCACGAGGAGAAGATGAGCGCCATAAACCAAAGCATGGAGAGGGTGCAGGGTAACAGCGTGGAAATCCTGGCTGACTACAGAAAGGGGCAAGAGGAGATTGTGACACTGCATGCTGAAATCGAAGCCCAGAAGAAGGAACTTGACACGATACAGGAATGCATTAAGCTCAAATATGCTCCAATCGTCAGCTTCGAAGAGTGTGAGAGAAAATTTAAAGCAGCAGAGAAGGAACTAAAAGAACAGTTAGCAGAGCAGACGCAGAGATCCCATGTCAGGGAAGAAGAGGCCAAGAAGTACAAGCAGGAGAATGACAAGTTGAAGAAGGAGATTGGCACTCTTCAGAAGGATTTAAAGGATAAGAATGTTCTCGTTGAGAACTCTCATGACACGGAGAGAGCACTAAACAGGAAAACAGAAGAGCTAAACAAACAGTTGAAAGACCTGTTACAGAAATACACGGAGGTGAAGACTGAGAAGGAAAAGCTGGTCAACGAAAATGCCAGACAGACTTCTGAGCTTCGCGCAGCCCAGACCCTTCTGCAAAAGCAGCATGTTCCATTGGAACAGGTGGAGGCCCTGAAAAAATCTCTTAACAGCACCGTTGAGCATCTAAAGGAGGAACTGAAGAATAAGCAGAGGTGTTATGAGAAAGAGCAACAGACAGTGGCCAAACTGCATCAGATGTTGGAGAACCAAAAGAACTCTTCGGTGCCCCTGGCAGAGCATTTGCGGATTAAGGAAGCATTCGAGAAGGAAGTGGGCATCATAAAGGCCAGCCTGAGGGAAAAGGAAGAAGAAAGCCAAAACAAAACTGAAGAGGTCTCCAAACTCCAGTCCGAGGTTCAGAACACTAAACAAGCATTAAAAAAACTGGAGACGAGAGAGGTGGTTGATTTGTCTAAGTATAAAGCAACAAAAAGTGATTTGGAGACCCAGATTTCCAATCTAAATGAGAAACTGGCCAATCTGAATAGAAAGTATGAAGAAGCCTGTGAGGAGGTGCTGCATGCCCAAAAGAAGCAACTTTCTGCCAAAGATGAGAAGGAATTACTACATTTCAGCATTGAGCAAGAAATCAAGGATCAGCAGGAGCGGTGTGATAAGTCCTTAACAACAATCACAGAGTTACAGAAAAGAATCCAGGAATCAGCCAAACAAATTGAAGCAAAAGATAATAAGGTAGGCACCGAGTAGTCTGCACGGCTTGGTGTTGGCTGCCCCTGAGCAGAGCTGCCGGAGTGGGACAGGGCCCTTTACAACAGCATGCCACAGGACAGGGTTACAAAAGCATTAACTACGTGACCATTAAATGCCACCTTTCCATTTAGACTACTGGTGTGCGAGGAAATTCAGGATTGAAAAAAAAGTAAAGTTATAGAGACAAAAGCCTTTCTCCTTTGGTTTCCTCAACTGGTATAGCCAAGAACTGAGGAAATGATGGGGAGACTCAAGGTTCACTTGCCTCCTAAGTGAATGGTCATTCCGGTGGGTTGTAGGGTACTGGAAAGGTGATGAGAGAGAGGGAGAAGAAAGCTGTTTCTGGGCTGCAAGAATTGGACACGAGGGAGCACCCCAGACTTGATCTTGGCACTCACCCATGCCAGTAACCGAGCCCTCCCAATTTCTTGTATACCCTGTCCTCATATCTTTCCATAGACTGGTCTCCTCACCTGGAACGCCCTGCCCCTCCTGCCTCTTGAGTTAAGTCTTGCACCTTCCTTCATACCCACTTCAACACGTGTCCTCCTTCCTGAAGCCTTCATTGTCCAATCTAGCCTCCAGTAAACTGTTCCTCTCCCAAAATGCATGTTTTCTGTTAGTGCTGCCATCCATTTCAGATGTCTAGGTTACTGTCTCAGAGTTATGTGGTTGATCTTCTCAACCAGCTCATAAGGTCAGGTTTGTAACTTACCTTTTCTTCTTACTCATTCTCATGATACAATTTATAGAATAGGTGCCCAACAATATTTTTGAAACTGGTAGTGGGCATAAAGTGTGTACTATGAAGATGAGAAATCAGGAAGGTTGGGTGCATTTTTATCAGTTCAATAAATAATTATTAAATGCCTTCTATATGCCACGTGCTGTGGTCCATTCTGGGGGTACAGTGACACTGAAGAGCAGACACATCCCTAGCCCTCCTCAGTGGAGAAGCGCGGGTACTAACTTGACCCATCTGCTCATATGGCCCAGAATTTAAATGCTCTTTGCTTGTTCCGAAGGGTGTTATGAGTATAATAGTGTATAATTGCAATAGCAAGTTATTAATAGCTGCTTACAATTGTTGCCACTTATTGAGCATATACTACATACCAGGCATATATTTATGATTGCATTTGATTTTCTTAACTCTGAAAGAACTTCCCCCTTTCACTGATAAAGGAACTAAAGCTCAGAAAAGGAAAGGAAATTAACCAAGCTCACACAGCTAATAAATAACAGGTCAGGCTGATTTTAAATAAAGCCTTTGCTCTCTCCACTAGTCTGAACAGCCTCCTGATTTTTTTCCCTCTTTAAGACAAAGCAGTCTAAAATCATACCTTCTTTTTTTTCAAACACATTTTTTTTCATTATTCTTATGTTCAGTTAGTCAGCATATAGTACATCATTAGTTTTTTATATAGTGTTCAACGATTTCATTAGTTGCGTATAACACTCTGTGCTCATTACATCACACATTCTTGACAAGAACCAGGCACATAAGTTAATGCTAGACTTACATGAGCCATGCTCTCTTTTCAAACTTTGTTGGAGGCAATGCCCCATAAGTTCCTATGTTTTGAATGAACTGGAAGATAATCTGTAGACTTTCTTAAGTACTTAAATATTATCTAAGAATAAAAAGACTGAGGTCACACTCCAATCTTAGGATATATATTTATTCTCAATTTGGTAATGCTTTTGTAAGGAATTTACTGAAAGGAATTTAATGGAAGAACTTATATATTGTATATACTGTTGATCATAATCTTGACAATATTCATTCCTCAATTTTCTGGCCTATGAAGATAAATTGTGTGCCTCAAGGAGTGATTTTTGTGTAAAGGTGTTCATGAGAATCAAATAAGTGAATAATACAGGTTTATCCCAGACTTTTTTCTTTCTTTATAAGATAACAGAACTGCTTAATGACGTGGAAAGACTCAAGCAGGCACTCAGCGGCCTTTCACAGCTCACGTCCCCGAGTGGGAGTCCCGGCAAGAGGCAGAGCCAGCTGGTCGACACCCTGCAGCAGCAAGTGAAGTCCCTGCAGCAGCAGCTGGCTGTGAGTAGCCAGCCCCTGGAGCCTTCGTGCCCATGTGTGCGGGTTCACGTAGTTGGTAAAAGTTTAGTTAGAAATCACATTAATTTGTGGCTCTGCTCAGGTCCAGGAAGGTAACCATTTTTGCCCAAAGTTACTTGTACTCGTGGTGTATTGGGTGCCTACAATATGCCAGGCATGGCCCTGAACACTTGGCATACTTTGACCTTGATCTTCATCACTGCCCTACAAGGTTTTATTCCCCCGATTTAATTCTTAAGGAAACAAAGATGAAAATACTTGAGGCCTAGGGACATGCAGCTAGAATTTAATCCTGGGACTGGCTGACTCCAAATCTGGTATCTTTCTAACTCTCTAAAATATTGGTCCACTCATGCCGTAAAGGAGGTGTTTTTTTTTTTTTTTTTTTAGAAATAATATTTTATACCTACAAATAAAGGTACGCATCCCTCTGGTTTTATACCTTATGTATTAAAAGAAAACATCTGGAAATATATATATTCATATATAGGTATCCTATATGCGTATATGTGTCTCCTTTCTATGTGAAAGAAAGCAACTGGATTGAGAAACTGAAGACAGGAGCTCAGTTCTAAACTCCTCCACTTAAAAGCGAGTGACATAGAACATTCCCCTTAATCCTTGGCCTCCTTATCTGTAAAGTAGGCTAGTAAGAACAAATTACTTATTTGTTTGCTTTTTTAATCAGATGAGGTAATATAACGTGCATGAAATGCTAAGGAAAACATATCCTGCTCAAATGTAAATTGTTGCTAATAATTTCCAATTTTAGAGGAATTGGTTAGGAGTTGTTTTTGAATAGAAGAAAGCTATTTTTTAAGGTTCATTTTATTAACACTCCTGGCCTACAAATTAATGATGACAAATTACTGATTTGGATCTTATCAAAAGGATATGGTAGTCCCTTCAATAATTGGAAATATTGGTTTATTATTTATTATGTTCATGACACTGTGCTAAACACTGTCAGGGATAGAGTACACGGTTTTTGTCCCAGGGAGTTCTGGGTAGGTAGAGAGGCAAAATACAGATCCACGAAAAGTAAAATAACAAGACCACAAATAACAAATATAGAATTGAGAATAAGATCCCAGATTCTAAGTGATTATGAATTCACAGGAAGGAAAGATCACTGGTGTGGTGGGAGCTAGTTAGAGAGGAGGGAAACAGCTGGCCTGAACCTGTAAGGTAGATGGTGTTTTGCTAGGTGAATGGGACACAGAGAATCTTTCAGGCAAGGGAAATTGTAGGGAGGGAGGGGTGGAGTGGAACGCAAGAGGCATTCCCGCGGGGCAGTGAGATCAGCCTGGCTGGTCACGGGAGCTGTATTTGTGGCGAAACTGCCAAGCCTGTTGAGAAGCAAGCGCATGAGTCTGGATTCTCTTTTATATGGAATAAAGTTTCTCCCAAGGTTTTTGAGCCAAACGTGGTGTGAGCAAAGGGAAGCATGAGAGGAGCTAAAATCTGGAGGCAGGGAGACAAGATGGGAAGCTTTTGCAATAATCCAAAGTAGAAGTTGGTAAGTGTCTGGATGGTCTCATGGCATTAGATGTGAACTGAGGCAGTAATTTCATGGTACCTATAGGACAAGTGGCATTGCTTTCACTAGGAATGTTCCCACACGTTGATTAGGAAAGTTTATACTACTGTTACGCTATGAAGTTTTGCATCTGGTGGGTCCAAGGTGGTTTGTTACAAGGTGTGGCAGGAGCATAACATGGTAGGAGCACAATACTGTTGTGTAGCATCAAGCCTGAAGGTGGCATTATCACAAGCCTCCATGCGTTTGAAAACGTGAATGCTGATTCTCTGATCTGTCCCGTCTTTCCACATTTCTAGGACGCCGACAGACAGCACCAAGAGGTGATTGCAATTTATCGGACACATCTTCTTAGTGCTGCACAGGTAAAAAAAACTCTTCCCCCTTTGGAAAAGATTTCATTTTATTCTTTTTATTTCTAAGAATCCTTTCAATTTGATTTTTTAAAAATTCCAGTATAGTTAACATACAGTTCTGTATTAGTTTCAGATGTACAATATGGTGATTCAATACTTCCATACATCACCCGGTGCTCAATACAGCTGCACTCTTTAATCCCCATTTTAGAGAAGACCATTGATTATTTTCAAGTAAATTTATGTGAAAGTCATTGATGTGTAAAGTAGTTGTATCCCATATGCTTATTTAAAAATAATTGTGTTTCTTTTAATCATGGCTTGTATATCTCCCAGAGAAATTTATAAAGCTATATGGTAACACAACATCTTAAATTTAGTGTTCTCTCCATCTGCTTGTCACTCATTTTATAGACAGTTTGGCAACATATGATGGCAGCGCATGTTAATGGTACTGCTAGCTGGAGATAATGCCTTGACATCCATACCTGGCTGTCAGCTAAAGAGAGTGGAAAGGACTTTACTGTTTCTCAGGAGTATTTCTTGAAATGTAGGAAATACTATAAAAGTGCAAAAATCACAAGGGGTGCACAAAATTATAAGAGTGTAAGAAAAAAATGGTTCTGTGAGATTATCAATAATATTTATTTATTGAGGCTTAAGCTCAGTGAAGCATAAGATTAAGAATTCCCTTCTTTGGGGGTATAATGAGAAAGCTTTCTTTAGAAAAATAAGAAAATGTTTAGCATATGAAGAATACTATGCTTAATGCTCTGTAGAAACCCTATGATCAGCATCTCCAAAATTCTCAGAATAGATTTTTCAGGAAGATGTATTACAAGAGACAATGTTAGAATGGCAGGTGAGATATAACAGGACTTGTTTAGGATTTGAAGTGTCAGCCCACACTGTTTTTGTTTTGTTTTGTTTTGTTTTTAAAAGGTGTTGAGGTGAGAGAAAGCTTCCAAGAAGGTCATTTTTTAATAAAAGGAACTAGGTAAAACAATAAAAAGAAAGAAAGTTTACAGTGTCAAATTCTTAAAGTCAAAAAGCCTTCCTTTTCTATAGGAGATGCAGGAGAAACAAATGGAAAAGAATGAATGGTATGACTGGCTACTTTCTTTTGAGGAGCTAGAAGATGAGCTGGGTTTTGAAAGTACAGTTGACCCTTGAACAGTGGGAGGCAGGGGTGCAGACCCTGCATGGTTGAAAAATCTGTGTATAACTTTTGATTCCCCCAAAAACTTGACTACTAATAGTCTGTTGTTGACTGGAAGCCTCACCAATAATATAAGTAGTCAGTTAACATGTATTTGGTATATTTATTAAATATTTATTATATACTGTATTCTTACAAAAAAGAAAAGACAGTGTTATTAAGAAAATCATAAAGAGAAAATACATGTATAGTACCATATGGTATTAATAAAAAAAAGAAATCTGTATCTCTGTGGACCCATGGTTTGAACTCCTGTTGTACTGTATATTGCAGTTGTTAGAGAAGACAATTGATGGACAGCAGAATAGGAACTTTAGGAGGAAGATGGTAGAAAAGTGTAGAAGATGTGTATTAGAGAGGATGAGGAACTCATTCAGGTCTGATATTGGCCAGAGGAGGAAGAGCATGCTCTCGCCGAAAAACACTGCAAACTAACGAGCCTTTCAACTTTGTCTAATGTATGCTTCCAAAAGTTGAAATTCTACTGACTCCTAATGAAACATAACAAAAACAACTGGCATCTGAAATAGTCTTGCCTTCTGGCATCATAAAGTTAACTAAGAAATTCAGTTTAGTCAACTATGGCTAATGTTTGAAATTTAAACATCCTGCTGTTATAGAAACAGATTTTGGAAGCATAACTTTTTATATTAATAGGAAGTGTTATGCTGAAACCTATTCAAGTGTTCAAGCAAAGAAAAAGGGGAAGAGGGTGTTGTAAGCCTACCATATTGACTCGCATTTAATCAACCTCTTGCCATCTTTTTAAGTCCAAAGTGTTTCTTCCTAAATATAAATGGCTAACATTCATATAAAAAGATCTCAACCTCATCGGTAATGGGTAAATGCAAATAAACAAGGAGGTACCATTTTTCACCTATGGGATTGGCAAATATTAAACAAGACGATAGTCTGTAGTGTTGGCCAAGGTGTCTGGGAAATCGGCATTTATACCCTGTTGGTGGGAGTGCAAATTGTTACAATGCCGGTAGAGGGAAGTTTTGTAGTGCTTAGCAAAATTAGCAATTGAGCCTGCTTTTGACCCGGCAATTTCTTCTCTAGGAATCTGCCCATAATGGGCGACACTGGGGCGCCTGGGTGGCTCAGTCATTAAGCGTCTGCCTTCGGCTCAGGTCATGATCTCAGGGTCCTGGGATCGAGCCCCCGCATTGGGCTCCCCGCTCAGCGGGAAGCCTGCTTCTCCCTCTCCCACTCCCCCCTGCTTGTGTTCCCTCTCTCGCTGTGTCTCTGTCAGATAAAAAAAAAAAAAAAAAAAAGGTGGGCGACACCTTAAATGGCCGTCATTGGGAGAACGAGTAAAGAAACGATGATATATCCGTACACTGGAATATTATCCAATAACTTAAAACTGGGGAAAGACTGCGACATGAGGTGAAAGGGCAAGTTGCAAAATCATACATGTGATCCTACTTAGGATAAGAATATAAGTATGGGGCCTTTTTCGTTGATTACTTTTCTAATTACAAAAACATTTCTCAGCAGGAGCAGGAAAAAAAAACTTTGTAGCTGACTTTGCTTAGCTATAACTCATGCTGCCCCTATTATCTGAGCGGTTATTAAAAGAGGAAAGGAGAGGAGTTTGTCCATCTGTCTTCTGATAAGTGTTGAGAGCAGCTGGTCTGTACTACTTTGAAGCTGACTTTCCAGTAAATCCTTTAGAATATCACCGCAATGATGAGGCTTTAGCATTTGGTGAATCACAACCACTTAGGCCCAGTTTCAAAGCCTCGGTCTTTCGAATTCTTGTGTAAATGAAGATGACATAAAATGTTTCTGCCTTTCTTCTTTCTCTCAAGGGTCACATGGACGAAGATGTGCAGGCGGCCTTACTCCAGATCATACAGATGCGGCAGGGGCTTGTGTGCTAACAGCAGTCCTGACCAGCCGGGGTGTGCTTTAGCTGCGGTGCTCAGCATTCCCTGTGCAACTCCACGGCCTTCCTGGGCTGCCGTGTGCTAGTATAATTGAAATAAAATATATTTTGTTTCATCAGCAAGTTTTTTTTTTTAACTAGATGGGTATGTTACTGAGTTTTTCCATACCAATTCAAATCTTATAGTCTATATATGTTAATTTTACAGTTAGGCAAACAACCTAACACTGTCTCGGATGGACTACGTATATTTAAGCTGTTGAATCCCTAATAAAACATAAGCCACCTTCGTAGGTCCATAATGAAGAAGGGTTAGGCTGAAATAATTTTTAAAGATTTCTTTCAGGGAAATTAATTTGGTAAGTGGATCAAAAGATCTTTCAGATCTTCAGTTGAGCCATGAGACCAAATGTGATTTTAAGGAATGCATCATAACTTGGCTGGCCAAGTTGCATTTTTATTGAAGTAACTTCATGAGTGCCTTTGACTTCTTTTAGAGGTACAGATTTTTTTCTTCTTACACTAGTAACTTTTATGCCCCTTTAAATACATTTCTTTTCATAAAGTGGTGTGCAGTGCTAAATTACATTTAGATTAAAAACAGGCAAGGGTAGGATGTATTAGGAATTTATCTTAAACTGGCCTCAGAATATCCACAGCAGTATCTTAATTTTCACTTGTGGTGATTTCTCTCGCCATAGTATTTAGAGAACTATGATAAATGGTATACTAGATTTTTCAGAGTGTCAAATATTTTAGGCTTTTTAAAGCAATTACTTTGACATTTGCTACTATAGTAACCAAACATTCATTATACACACATCCTCCAAATGCTTTGTACTTATTTATAGGAAAATTGCACTAATAAAATTAATAATGTGAAATGCAGTTTTCATGCAAAATTAGAGAACTGATTTTAGAAAACAGATCTTTCAGGTTTTAGATGAAAGTACAATAATAGAGTAAACTGTAAGAATGTAGATCACAAGGAAATGATAAAATTGGCCATGTATTAGTAAACACTCTATTGTAACCAACCATTTTTATTAGCTACATCTCATTAAGGAGAGTTTATATGTTTTGCTATTTTTATTAATATTTTGTTTACCATTCAGATCGAAGATTACTAATTTGCCTGTTAGCAAATAAACTGAACAAATGAATCCTTTCAACCAAGTTTTTGTTTAATTGCAAAATGTGCCTTAGCAATAATCTTTGAACATTGTGAACCAGATTTCTTTTCTTTTTTTTTTATGCCCAATGTGGGGCTCGAACTCACGACCCTGAGATCAAGAGTCACATGCTCCACCGACTGTGCCAGCCAGGCGCCCCCGAACCAGATTTTTTGTTTCCAATTTTGTATAATAACAAGGACAAAGAGCCATCAAAATAGCTTCTCCCACCAGAAACCATCACATTTCTTCAGTATAGAAACAATAGTGAAAAGTCAGAATTGGATTTATTTTTAATTCTTTAGATAGTTTACATGAGCAGTATTTGGATTCTTTAATTTGTATATTTAATGTTGTCCTTTGGCATGAGTTCTGTTTCATGAGTTTATTTAGGTCTTCTTTGAAGCTCTATAGCAGAGAACGTTCTTTACTGAATAGTCACATTTCAGTGTTGTATTTTCCTTAATAGAAGTGGGAGGGGAACCTCATGTGTATTTTATTTTGTCCTCAGTCACCAATAAAATGTGGAATATTGTTTTGAACATCCTCGTAAAAGATATATAAGGTCATTTATGCCATGTGCCACTTTTTAGAATTTGGTGTCGAGCATGAAGGGGTCCAATGTACAGATGATTTTGCCCTTTTTCAGTCTGCCACAGAGTGGAGGAGCAAGTGACCTCCTTGAATTAATCCCATTGTCTCATTCACCCACCTTTTGATATCAAAGGCAGAGATTGCATTTATCACACTGAAGGCTAAAGCTTCTTAGATAGTAAACAAGTGGAATATACAGAGTGGGTGATGCTGGTCTCTCTGCTGTTCTGTGTTCAGAAAAATGAGGACATCTGCAGGAAGATTAGCTGTGTCAGAGATGAGAGTGCTCTCTAAAAGAATCACCAGATTCCTTTTGGGGTGCGTTCCTTTGTTGAAAGCTCTATTACTCTCCCACTGTTTCATTTCATTCTTATCATTCCTGCTTCATTGGGAAAGCTCATTCTTTTTGCCAGAGGGTTCGTGTTATAAAGAACTATTAAAATTATTCATTCAACGAACATCTTAAACTTTAATATTACAGTCACTTTATTCACTAGCTGTACCTGCGCTCTTCTATAACTCTGGATGAATGTAGCTTAATCTTTCTAATGGCTTGCTTTTTATTTCAACCTTTGCTCTTGACCCTAGCCAAATATTCTGTGGTTTAAAACTCTCTTATGCGTCCGATCTTTGCTGCTTTAGGAATCTTGCTGCTTCAGAACACGAGTGCTTTTCCCCCCAGTGTTACCAGCTTTCCTAAAAACTGTTCTGCACATGCTTCTTCCCTACCTGAAGGGCTCCTGTTCTTGGTTTACTCATTTCAAAGTAGAAAACGGTTTCAAGTTAATTTTTGGTGCCCATGATGATGAGGTGTATTGGTGCCTGTGCACATAAAGTTAAACCTCAGGTGGCAGTGGCCAGAAGCTTCTCTTGACATCCGCTTCACCACAGTGTAAGACAACTCCTTACTGCCTCTTCATTCTCCTCATCACTGGACTGTGCAGCCTCGCGTGAGCTTTTTTCTTCTCGCAAGTTCTGTGCATCGAAGTAATGGCAGTACCTTTGGCACCAAAATAAGGATGGGAAGAGCCTTGCGTGTGATGAGCGTGCAAAAATATGGTGGCACACGCCTGCCAGAGAAGGAAGAGCCTGGGCCTCGCTCCTGGCTGCTACATGTTGTGAGTGATATTCAGCAATGACGGCGTTTCAGAAAGGAGGGAAAAAAATGGCACCGTAAAATATACACAAACTACAACATGGAAAACGGGCATCTCCACTCCCTTTCATTCAGTGACCTCCCCAACTAAACTGGATCCGAGACTTGTTTGTTAGAAGTTCTTTCCCAGGTCTGGACCTTGGCTACTTGAACAAGACTGCCTAGATCAGATCCCTCTGGGTAAATAGTAACCTGCGTCTTAGCACGGCTTCTGTTTCTGGCCACATATAGGGGCCTCTGCCTCACAAGAGTTGTGATGGTAGGGGTTTAAAAAAAAAACCCAGAAGCTGCAGCAGTGGTGGCATTCCAGGGAAGCTCCTTGGGCACTGAGAGCCCTCGTGGTGAGCATAATTGGTCATGTGGCATGACTTATGCATTAGAGGGCATGTTCATTATTTATGCCCGCATGAACAAACATCAGTGATGAATGGATACGACCAAAAAGGGAAGGTTACAAAAATGTCATATGTAAATGAGAAAGAGCCAAGACTTGTGAGGATTGCTTCCCCAGTAGTTGTGTGTGTGTCTGTGTGTGCACCTGCATACATACTTATGTTCTACTCCATGATACAGTAGAAGAGACATCAATAAAAATAATGCCCATTATAATTGATATTTGGCATCAAATTGTACTGAGTGGGCCTGATTTTTATATTTTAAACAGCTTTGCAATTTGTTTTTTAAGATAGCAGTCCTGGGAATATTCTGAATTCAGGAAAGAGTTTAGAGAGGTTATTGCCTTCTTAATAATTTAGAGCTTCTATTGCCCTGCCAAGTCAGAAGATTAACATTTAATAGAAAAAAAATTATATATCTATAATTCAGTCACGGCTATTCGATCAGATGGATTTTACATTAGGTGACAAAGATGTCGAGCATTTAAGGACCATTAAGCTACAGGACTCTCTTATTGGGTTCTGAGGCCTCTGAGTCCAGGTCCTGCTGCGAAGAGTATTTCTTTCATATAGACAGAACACATTAAGGATGGGAAAAGGGCATACATTTTAAAAGAAAAGCCATGAAAAAAGTGATTTTCCACATTGTGAACAGCTACTATATAGATTCAGTCTGATTTTAAACTAATTAGTTTTGTTCCTCATTAAGTGGCTTTCTTAGCTACAAGAAGATGGTGAAGGCCATTTTAAAAGTGGGACTTGCAGGAAGTCCAACTACCTGGCCACCCTCTCTCGGTATTTCACTTTGAGAAACTACGTTTCCAGTAGTTTCCATGTCGCTCTAGATCATAAAGGATTTAAGTTCGAAAATGCCTTCTCTGGTGGTCCTTAAGGACCATGAAAGGAATACAAAAAAAAAAAGTTACTTCTAATAAGTCTTTACTTTCTTTTAGTGATGCCCAAATTATCAAAGAAGGGATTGATTCTTGAGGAAACCCACTGGCCTACGGGGAGAAAGTCTGCGCCATCCTTTTTATTAAGTGCTTGTAACACAGTTCACATTATGGCAATTAAAACATGACAAGCAGTATCTTAAGCATTATAAACGTTCCTTACTCTTCTTGCCATTCCCACCTCCAAAACCCCGGGAAGAGTATAAAAGCGAATAGATGTAGGGAGGATGTAGGGATGGAGTTCGTATCATTTGTAACTTTTCCCCTTTGCAATGTCCAAACAAATGGTGTGATTTTTCTTTCTTGCTATTCTAGGCTTTTTTTTTAATTGCCTCAGACTAAAGTGGCGCCTTATGGGCTGCTTCAGAAATTGTCTTCAGGATTTAAAAATGAAGCCGATTCATATTCAGAGTCTTCCTGCTAAAATCTGTTAAGCCAAAATAAAAAGGACTGCTACTTAGATTTCTGTTTTCCTCATCCTTGCTGCAAACATTGTGTCACAGGAGCTGTGCGTTCCCATTTATGCACAATTAAAAACTCTTCTCTATACAAATGGGGAGGGCTGAACCATCATGGCAGGGCTGCCAGCACCAGTCCTGAGGACTGAAGTGGGCACGCCTCCATCGAATAAAGGGGAGCTGCTCTCTTGAGCTTGGAGGCTGTTTTTTTTTTTTTTTTCAGTGAATTGTTCCAGTTGGCCTTAATCCCTAAGCAATATGGCTCCTTGAAAACCATCTTTATTCATTCACACCAATTGACACTTTAAGAAATTCCTCCAGCTACTGTTCATCTAGGTCTAAATATATCTGTTAGAGTTGAATGCGTTTAAGCGGATTTGCAATCTGTGAT